CTTAGTTTGGTATAAACAGAGCCTGTTCTCTTCATTTCCAGCTTACTGACACCCAAGTGTCTCCCCAGGGCTGGAATTTTAAGTGTCCAGGTGCCTCCCTCTCCCCCACTCCAGGGGAAGCACAAGGATGGTGAGTCATCAAATTAGGCCTCTTTCCACCCCCTCACTGTTCTCTGAATGACTCTGCTGCTCCCTCCTGCCCAACCTATGTCCTGCTGGAATTGGGGAACGATGGAGAATAGGGCTGGGATTCTTGTGGTCTATCAGCTTGGGTTGTAGGGTGTAGGGAGGAGCCTTTCTGTCCCAGATTACCTCCTTTGGTCTCTTTCTAGTCAGTGGAGGCCCTCCTGAGGCCTATCTACTCCCTGGTATCAGTGAGAGCAATCACAGCTTCTTTCTTCCCTTATCTTCTGGATTCTTGGGGCCCAAGGTGAAGGAGAGGAGAAGATAAGAAAAAAGGAATGTGAGGGAGAAGAAATAGAGATTTGAGGGGCGAAGAGGACTCATCTGGATAGAACAGAATCATAGAATCATTCATTCATTCATTCATTTAGTGAATCAAACAAGTTTCTGTGTTGGGTGCTGAGGGAAACAAAAACATGTATAAGACATGACCCTGCTTTTAAGGGAGGTGACTTGGTGCTGGTGTGAGAGCCCTGGACTTGGAATCTAGGGATTCTGGTTTGAGTCCAGCTACCACCTTCTGGAGAAATTACTTCCCTAAGCCTTGGGTTCCTCATCAGTAAGTAAAGATAATGATACTAAACTCTCAAGGTCATTGTGAGGATCACAGGAGATATTAGCCGATGTTCAATGTATGTTATATGAAGATCAGGTTTACAATCAGGGAGGGGTGCTGAGGCAACTGTAACCCAGCCCAGGGGTGTAACAGAGGCCCATTTTTGGGGTCTCTATGGGTGTGGCCACTTCTGGCACTGGCGACTGGGGCGGTTGTGTGGGGAGGTGCCTAGTGTGTGATTTTCATTCAGTAAATGTTTGCAGAATGAATGGGGTGTGCTGGAGCCAGGAAGGGTAAGGTTTCAGCAGGTGTAGCTGACAGGGAGGTACTGTGGGAAGGAAGGGCACAGCCCTGGGGCTAGGGCAGGGTAGTGCCAGGTGGGAAAGGCTCAGTTCTGCTGCCAGATGAATTTGACCTTTATTCTGAAGGCAACGGAAAGCTCCGAGCATGGGAGTTACAGGATCAAAGTGGTGTTTACAGACCAGTCTGGCTGAGCACTGGGAGAAGACATCTTGGAGCCAAATGAGTAGCGGGGACAGGGACAGAGGGGCAGAGGGAGAGAGTGTATAAGTCTAGGAGCCTGAGGGCAGGTGATGATGTCATTTTCCCCTCCAGCATGTCTCCAGGGCCCCTGTCTCACTTGCCTGCAAAAAGGGGGAGGGAACATTGAAGGGAGGTAAAGAATTTCTCAGGGACACAGAGAGCAGGGAAACATTGCTTGCTTTCTCCAACTCCCACCATGGGCCAAAGGGCCCAGCTCAGAGTAATGGGGTGGGGAGGAGAGAGGAGGACAGGACTGGAGCTAGGACCTGGGTCCCTTGGTTTTCTCAGTCCTGCTTCATTCTTCCAAGAGATAAAATAAGTCAACTGTGGTTTTTAAAGCTAGAGAAGTAGTAGTTAATGGTGGCAGAGAGTAAGAACCCATTAGGCCCCAGGAAGAGCTGTGCATGATGAACCCTAGAGCTCAATAACAGATGTTGTCCATCCCCAGGACCTAACTTTTCTGGGAAGAAATTTCTGGTCTGGGACTGACTGTTAGGAATCTGAGACCTTTAGCCTTTGTTGGCACTAGTCGGCTTGATTCATCTCTTCTCTCCCTTTGCTCCTTCTCATTTCCAGTTAAACCACACACCCTGGAGTGACTCAGGTATGCTGCCTAGGACCCCCCACCCCCACCCCAATACCCCCAGCCCTGACTCAGCCTGGGCTCTTAGGAATGCAGAGATAGCTATCCTAGCTCTCCTGTGGTGGAGAGATAAGGTTTATGGCCCTGGACAGACTCATTCTCTGTGGTCTGTTATGTACACATACCACCAATTGCATTCCTCCCAGGCCTTATCCTACCTTACTCTGTCTCTTCCAAGAATTGCAGACCCTCTGAGAGCATAATTTTCAGAAAACTGCTCGGCACCTCCTCCCCTGAAGGCTATCTTCCCATCCTCCCAGCCTTGCTCTACTCCTGCCCCATTGAGGCCCGCTGCTCCCACTCTTAATGTTTCTTGGCTTCTGGGCAGGCCTGACTCAGTCTAGGTCTGAGAGAAAAGAGACCCAGCACAGATCCCTTTTCAAAGGAGATCTCACTTCTCTAGTCACTCATTTCCACTCCTCCTCCTCCTCCTCCAATTACTCAGTCCTTCCTTTGGCCTATCTTTTTGTTCCCTTTCAATACTTTAGTAAAGGAGAATGTGGTATGTTCACTGGTTGTTTCTGCAGTGGGCGGGACTAAGGCAGACTGGAGTGCAGCTGAGGGTGTGTTTTCTCAAAAGATCCCTTGATCTCGCCTGGGGGGAAGGTCAGGGTGAGGGGGAGAGGAAAG